TTTGTCAAAAGTGAAAATCGAATTTTTCGAAAAAAAGGGAAGGGGGGGGTGCCAGAGATTTTCGACGAAAAAAAAAAAATTTCAATTTCTTCTGAAACAAGTATATTTGCTTGCGGTGGTCAATTACAATCATATTAGGAGCAAAAATACCCCCAAAATCCTTCCCACTGTCGAGAAAAAAATTCCTAAAGGAATTGAAATTTTTGATGAAATTAAATGTTATTTTATTCCAATTATTTTTTGAAACAGAGCTTGAAATACGTCCCATGGGTACCTACAGACACGTATTAGACTATTTATCTGTAAATCGTCGAGTAAATTTGTCAAAAGTGAAAATCGAATTTTTCGAAAAAAAGGGAAGGGGGGGTGCCAGAGATTTTCGACGAAAAAAAAAAAATTTCAATTTCTTCTGAAACAAGTATATTTGCTTGCGGTGGTCAATTACAATCATATTAGGAGCAAAAATACCCCCAAAATCCTTCCCACTGTCGAGAAAAAAATTCCTAAAGGAATTGAAATTTTTGATGAAATTAAAAAATTGATATTTTGTTACCGCAGTTCATAAAGCACATATGAGTCTTCCTCTCTCGACTCCCACGAGACGGTACGAAATTACTTCGGGCAGCTTCGGAGAATCGAGAAAGAGAGCGTGTGTCAATTTGCCTTTGTCGACTCTCCGATACTCCATGAGCTCACGTAAGTACGCATGATCTGGCATAGGGTGAGTAGGGCCACAGACGAGATATATGAATAGACCTTTCAACCTATGGACTTTCGCGGCTGAATCTGACTGCCATACCGACCTGAAAATTCGGAGGTGATTTTAGCGGCCTCTTCTCATGGATGGCGGTTAGTTGAGACACTAGGCACTGAATTAGCATTAATGGGCAGCCAGCAGAATGAGTGCGTAAATACATGTGAATTGACTATGGGGGGAATTGAAAAAGACAGTGCAGTATTATCAGATGGCAGACCCGTGCCCAAAGGGAGCTGCCCCACCACTTACACACACTAATACCAACCTCCTTGTATATGAGTTCTGGCGTTTCGTATCTCTTCGAGGATTCGAGAAAGGTGGCGAATGTCAGTCTATCTTTTTTGCTCTTAACACAGCCGAAATTCGATTTCGCATAATCTTGAGCCGAGATTCTCGACTGCCCAGGCATTTTTGACTTTCCGACCTATGTAGGCGTATAAGCAAAATACCATAATGAAACAAAAATTTTGTTTACGGAAATACACGTTTTAGGACCCCTTGATCATATTTTAACTATTAAAAAAAAGACATTTTTTTACTATGCTTATGAACGTGCGTTCATATATTTATACTATTAATACTATTGGGTCTAAACAACCGAATAAATTTCACTGTAATTTTTAATTTTTAAATCTGAAAATATTTGAGAATACTGTCCTATTTGTCCTCTTTGTTTAGCAATTTAAAAAAACGCTGACTCATTAAAATCAATCATGAAAATGAATGGAAGTTGACACCGCCCCTACTGAAAATAAAGGACTGGAAAATTTTTGTTCTTTCAATGAGGGAAACTCTTTTACTTAATCTTTTTCGAAGGCGAAGGCGAAAAAGTCGATTTCGCCACGGCAACAATGGTTGGACGCGACGCGTGGACATTCCCCCGAAATAGAGGATCGGCTTTTGTTTTCCAGAAACGCTAGCGACAATGTATTTTCCAAGAGAGTCGAATGTAAGGACCACTGAAGGACGCTCAGTCTACGATACATTTATGACAGAGTTTTGGGGTGCATGTGGCCTAAAGAGCGAATGAGACTAAACAGGCCTGGCAACGGGTGACGCGATAGCGGACGACCGCGTTGGGTCTCCAGGTAGCACGTGTCGAGGCATTGATTGTTTATGAATAGAGAGAGAGTAGTTAAAAGAGGCAGACGACCTGACGTCGTACTGCTGGAAAAAATGAAGACTTTGTCCTGAAGGATCTGGCCACAGAGTGGGGAAGGCGTGGGACCTTCCGGTAAGAGCACTGTGAGGAACGGCACAGGACTTACCCCAGAACCGTCAAAGGCAAAATTTCTAACATACAGGCATGTCTCTATAAATTTCAAATCCATTAATCAATATGAATTTGTGATATCATGTCAGCCAATTTCGAAAATATGGTTTCGAGAAAAACTCATTTAAAATTTCTTGTATGATTATTAACCGTTGGGTACTCTTCCTTCTAAATGGCTATAACTTTGTTATTTTTACGAATTTTTTATGAGTCTACGATTATTATAATTGCTAAATGAAGAGGACGTGTTCCGAGTCAAAAATCAGTTGCGGGGTTTTAAAAAAGGACAGATTTGCAGGTTTGTTCTCATTAATGTTTGCAGCGTGTTTGCGAGGGATGTGTCCGATATATACATATGTATATAATCAATTCATTTTCCTTCAATAATTCTCCATTGCAAAAATTCTACAGTATTCTTACATTTTTTTATATTTTAAAATTTTCCCATGTTATTAGAAAGTAGATATACGACGAAAGTTATACAACTTATAGTTCCTAGCATGTATAACATGTATATGTATATAACGCATGGTCGCTTCGTATGGAAAGTCAATGAATCTTCAAAAAGCGCCCAGGTCCGATTTCGAGAAATGTAAGGTTTGTCAGTCACGATGGCTTTTGTCGTTTACTAACGATTCGAACGGGTGGCGATGCCAGCAGGCTTGCTTTCGAGAAATGTAAGCGACGTCAGCGATGCAAGAGCGAGAAGGAAAGCGATTATCAGCCTGTTCTTCTCGGCTATTCCGAAACTCAACGAGCTCACGTACACGCAATTGGGCATAGTGTGCGAAAGTGACGAATGAGAAGTTTCCGAGGCCCCGATGCACAGTCTGATTAAACTGATTTCGAGTCGCAAATACGTTTCTGGCGAGTTATTTTTTAATAAATGATGTATTACAATTTAAAATAAAAAATAGAGAATTTGCGGTGTACGTATCAATGAAATACATCCTTAGGAATTTTAATAATCTTGAAATTTGTAAATACTCTTAATCGATTGATTTCTCCAATGAAATTAATCGATTAATGTCCAATGATAGACCCTACAGCTTTAATTCCGTTAAAAAATAATAAAATTTATGCAATTTTATTTTCTGTCCCACTTCCTCTTGTGTTAATTTCTGAATCTGTTGATAACGTTGCGAGTGACACGAAAATGGTAATGGGGTCCCGGGACCCCAGAAACTCCGGCCGAAAAATTACATTACGTGAAACGTCTATTCATATATCTCGTCTGTGCTCGTATACCAATGGAAGTCAAAATAGTAAAAAACTTTATTATGAACAATAACGTTTTCCCTTTTAAATATCTACGTATAAATCCAAGGCCAATGAGTGTTATTGCGTAACCGTTGAGAAATGTTTCTTGTAGAGTACTTCGCCATTTTAAGACAAAAATGGTTACAATTTTCGCGTTCCATCGAAACGGGCTTGTGAAAGTAACACGAGGAAGATGGAGTTAGAGGAAGTGGTAATGTTTTTAAAATCTTGTTTAAGAAGCTTTAGAGAAGAAAGTAAATAAATGCGGGAAATAATCGTAAATATTGCCGATCACGCGCGCAATATCAATTTCGGTAAAAGTGTATCGTTATTGCTTTTTTCGCGGCAGTCTTTACTATTTACGATTATGTGTCTTCGAAATGGAATGATGTAAAATTTATGTATTAAAAGGGATTTTAGTGCATGCGAGTAGAAGGAGGCGTAATTTTTCGATAGTATAATTTTGTGGCTTGAATTTTTGGTATTAACAGTATTCAAATAGAAAAATATTCAGAGACCCTTTGCTGTATTGGCATAACCTTAAAATTTGTCGCGCCTTATCTTTCGTTGGATAAATTGATCGATTTTATCTAACAATATAAACGAAATTTTTGAACACATTAATTGGTTGTTTCAATTACATATTTATGGTCTTGAATGATGCAATTAAAATTAATAGAAAAATAAAAAATTAATAAAAATATTAAATTGAGACTATTGAAAAAGAAACGAAAAGATTTGGTCCAAACGATCCATGACAATAATCATTATTAAAAACTGTATCTGTAGGATGGGCTCTGTATGTTTTCAATTATGTACAATTTCTATTATAAGTGTATTTAAATGTTATATCATTTAAAGGTATGTGTCGTTTTTATTTTGTTAATAACAGGAATGACCGACATATGTATAATAATATCTTCTTTATTACATTTTAGAAATTTGATTCTACACATATAGTATATTATATATTCTCTATTTTAATTATTTTTACATTCTTAGATTATCAAAATAAAAAAGATACACATCTTAAAATGAGAGAACAACAATTTTTATTATTTCTCAGAATTTATAAAAATTGCCTTCTAAATTTGTACCAGTGCGTACTTCTCGTGCACTTCATGATAAAGCTTGCAATGAAATGCATAGAAGCGTCAAATAATGGTAATAGTTTGCACAAGTGGAACTGCCGCATTGTTCTCGGGAGGAAGAGTCGATCAAAGCCATTCCATAAAATTTTTATACGCATCATACGGTCGCAATTGTATAGAGTACCTTGAATGCAAATCTAAATTGACTACCATCGAGTATTGAGTTTTATTCAGTCAGTTTCGCATTGTTTATCGATAAAAAAATCTTGTATGCACAAATTGGCGAAAGTTGCTCTATGCCTGGGCAGGTTCATTGTATGTAATAGCAAATAAAAGAAAAGAATTATTTACTCGAAAAAATGTAGAACTATTGAAAAACAGCAATTCCTGTATTACGCGTGGTCCAATATCCGAGGTTACGTTAGGTAGTAATTAACGAGAAAGTTTGTTCATTTGGCACATCAATTTCTACCAGCATAAACATTTTTGTGCCACCATTATTTGCTATAAATATAAATTTAATTTTTAATTTTAATTTTCGAATAGATCGTAGAACGATTGCGTTAGCTGATAACATATATTTGTATCTTTTCTTTGTAAACGAGAATCAAAGACTAACCTTTTTTTTAAGATTCTTCACGACCTCTTTTAAAACGAAATTTTGTTTCCTCAATAAAACGAGTTCTGGTTCGTCCTTCTTGTTTTTCGTTGTCCAAGTGAGTTGTCTCAGATTTTTCATGCTTTCATCGAATAAGTTTTCTGGTTCGATCAAGTTCTTCAGAGCTGCTCCAAGCGGATACATGAGATTTATTTGAAGAAATCTAGGAGCGGTGGATGCTACTTACCTTCTGCCACAAGTTGACAGAGCGAACTGACATCCACGTCGAAACGTTTTAAAGTTTCGAGTAGGTTCGCCAGTTCGAAACTTCGATTCTCATGCTCGCGTTGTGAGATTTGGTACGTTTCTATTTGCCCCTCTAATCGGGTCCCCTGTTAACAGAAAACAAGTTAGGCCGTGTACATTGAAATTCTATTGATCTTAAAGTGTTGGAAATAATTTTCTTTCGGAGTAACTAATGTTGGAAATAGTAATACACTTTTTGTTATCTTACTCGGAAAATGTAAATTTTTAAAATTTTTCCTTATATCGTATAACTAATTACGATCAGAATTGTAAGCTTTCAGTTAATTTCAATGACACCAAATGTAGTCTTTTTTCATACTTCCCGCATTGATATTTTGTTTTAGTAATCGAATGAAACTTCATAAAAGAAGACAGGAGTCAAGCAATCAAAATTGACAAACGTTACTAGAACTACTCAAATTGAAATCTGGCTAGTTTATTTACACGTATCGTTCGACGAAACACTTTATTACGAAATTTTATTCACTGTGCAAAGGATATTCGGATTTTTCGACTCTATCGGAGGAGAGCGGTCGATCGGCCAACGCGCCTACCCGAATCCCCAAATACCGTGACATTTTTCATTCTGCTCTGACCTCAATTTTAGAACATTTGCGAATAAAAAAGCTCACTTGAACAAAGAAATAACACAGACAATGGAAACAGTTTTTTCGAATTGTTTGAGACTGGATCCGAGGGTTAAATTTTTAAAATAAAAATATTTCTATTGAAAGTTACTTAATACTTGAATGAACTATTTAATCAATCGTATTAAAATACAACATATAATTCTGAATTGACATTGCATGCATATGAATATTCGTACAATCACGAAAGGCGTCAAAATAAAATAACTTTGGAAAAATGATTTTGTGAATAAAACAAACAATTTCTAAAAGTGATTAATTTCTTGTAATTAAAATTTCCAAAATTAATGTTTGTATGCCTAAAGATCGCGGCCATAGTAATGCTTTTCAGAAGGCAGTTTTCATGAACATCGGTGGAAACTGTCTACTCTGAGAAAAAGAAGTAAAATGGTAACTTGAAACCCTTTTATTGCTACGTGGGTTGCAGCATAATTCAATTGGAACAAAATCCCACACATTTGGGGAACGAATTACCAATTTGGAATGAGCACTTGCAGTCAATAGTCGTTTGTACTGTAATAAACACTGTCTTGCAACAATTAGCCTTTATAGCCTGGAACCGGCAGGTGACGAACAATTAACGTTTTAAGAGCCTTCATCCCGACGCCCCTTCGTTTTTTCGGTACGGGGTTTGCATCTCGCTAGGAGTGATGGCGCGTGATACTGCGTCTAAAGGACGTGGCTGTGGCAGATCTAGGTCTCGTTAATGCCGGCGATCGTAAAACTTTTGCGTTAACTTCGTTTTACGCGAGCTGGCTACGCTTCTGGCGTCCCGTTAGAAAATTGCCGCGAGCACGGGCGGACGTCGCGGTAAGAACAAAAAAAGAGAAGATCGATACGAGGAAAAGAGAATAGCTAAAGGGAAAAGTTCAGAGATTAGCAAGGCACTTTCGCTATTAATCACACGGAACAACGCTCGTGGATTCCGGTGCGTCGTGTTGATTTAGAAAAAAAACCTATATATGTATATCCCTATCAAACATACCGAGGTACATCGATCAAACTTGTCTGGAAAATTGTCAGACATCTTACATAATAAAAATGGGTTTTAAGTTGAATTAAGAATAAAATTATAAATACTTATGGCAAGGAAGCCAATAATAATATTCACGTTCATTTAGAAAGAAATTTTTTGATCTGTGTCAAACATAACATGACATATTCATGAAACTTGTCTGGGCAATTGTCAGACATCTTACATAATAAAAGTGGGTTTTAAGTTGAATGTAGAATAGAATTACGAGTAATTGTGGCAAGTAAGTCAAGAATAATAATCGTGTAATTGAAACCTGTCCAGGAAAATTGTTAGACATCTTACATAGTAAAAATGCGTTTTAAGTTGAATTAAGAATAGAATTAGAAATACTTGTAGCAAGGAAGCCAAGTATAATAGCCATGTTGCTTTAGAAAGAAATTTATTAGTCCGTATTAAACATACCGGGACGTATTGATCAAACCAGTTTGGAACATTGTCAGAAATGGGTTTTGGGTAGAATTAAGAATAGAATTACGAATAATTATGGCAAGTAAATCAAGAATAATAGTCACCTTGATTTAGAAAGAAATTATTTGATCTGTGTAAAACATAACATGACCGGGGAAATTGTCAGACATCTTACATAGTAAAAATGCGTTTTAAGTTGAATTAGGAATAGAATTAGAAATACTTGTGGCAAGGAAGTCAGGAATAATAGTCGCGGTTTAGGAACGTAGAGGCATAGGTTTGGGCAGCTTGGAATTCTGCTCGGATACTGAATATTCAAAAGGTAACGGAAAGGTAACAAGTTCGATTTCGCGTGTCAGAAAAGCGACGTTTCAAAGGACGGACTTTGTTCGATCCAGTGTCTGTAAAAAAAACTGGCTACAACGTCAGAGTGAATGCATATCAATTAAAAAAAGTGCTTTGATGTTGGTTTACGATGCATGTAGCATCGCTATTGCACCCGAAACTTTTTGAACCAGTGTCCATGCTACCAAGAAGAATTCGAATATCCTTTGTACTTTCATCATTTTCTGTATTAAAAAAGGAAAGAGATAAACTAATTATACACTTCAAACTGAATTCTTCTGTTATTACAAATATATAATCCCATTCTTATCCCTTCTCTTTCAATGTAAATACAGTTGTGTACATACAATGAGCAATTTGAAATTACCACCTCGATTTACATCAATATTGTTGTCTCTAGTGAAGAGTAGATCGAAAATGAATCAATGCTCGCAGTGGAAAATCATGTTTTAGAGTTGGGTGCATGATCATGTGCCATTAGATCATAAATATGGTTAGTGTTCTTCAAAGTTGTTGATCCACTTAAGAACTAGTTTTGCGGTGGACTTGTAATTTTATTATATTTATTGTATTATTATATAATTGTTAACCCTTCAATAGTTTAATGCGATTAAGAAATGCCGGGGTTTATAAGATTCTTCACGGTTTCATAAACTTTTCTTTATAACGTACAAGAACTACTCGTTGAAGATAGGATTGTAATCGAAACATATAATAATTAATTTTTCCACAACACATTATTAGTTTCGAATGTAAAGAATGTAATTTCAAGAGACTCTCTTTGTATTCGACACTTAAGCTATATTCACAATTCAGACAAAGTTCGTAATAAAGCTTTTAAGATACCTTCTCTCTAGCTTCGTTGTACAGCTCGATTAGTTCGCGAAATTGTTTCTCTGTGGTTTCTCGTGTCATTTTCAAAATGTTCTCGCATTCTCGTTTAATCATAGCCACTGCGTTGCTACATTCAATTTTGTTACTGAAAACAAAGTGGCCGATCTACAACAAACTCATTTTAATCGTTAATGAAAATAAACATAACAATTTAGGTTTCTGTTCAAAATATCTTGGCCGCAAATTTTTATTTTTCAAGCCTTAATTTATATATTAAATACAATGTCACGTATTGTCGAGGAAAAATATTTTTGTTCTCATTGTTGGTTTTAAGAAAACGTGTCAGCCATTCGACCGATGAAAGATACAACATGTCGTTTTCGATTTATGCGAAAGTCACAACGAAATACAAGACTCATAACAGTTAGAAAAAGACGAAATACGAGTTTATTGATCCGCGAAGATTCTCAGATATCCTCTCAGAGGTTTCGCAATATCCAATCAAGTTATTGAATTTATTTTCCTTCGGGTTTCTTGTTTTTTACTTGGTAGCTACGTTTACCTTTCATATAATAGAATCTTCTAAAACGCAATTCGAATCTCGACATTGTAATACAGTTTACAGAATAACGTGATGGAACCAAGCTTTAATTCACTGAGATCCTTACAAAAAAGTTTACAATGCTATTGTATGTTTTTAGCTTTTTTTTGTTGTACTCCTGTATTTTATTTAATTGTCTTTGAATAGTATAGTTCTATTCTAATTATTATTAATTTCTAAAATATTTGCAAAGTTATATTATCAGCAGTAGTTTCTATTGGTTCACTTAAGTTTTCCATGCTCGTAATCTTCGTTTAGACATTTTGATAAAAACAACAAGAAATGAAGTAAAAGTTTGTTTATATTTGTTCACCAGTAGATTTATTTTTTCTCTAATTTTTTATTTATTTTATTGAATTAATTATTGGTTTCAATTTCATTACATTTCTTGCTTAGTATTCGACAAATTTTCTTTACAAGAATTCATAAAATTTTAATTATTTCATTAACAATTAGACGAGTAGAAACGTTATGGACATCCCGTAGAATACGCGAGAATCTTTTGGAATTAGAATGAAACACAGTGAAAAATATTTAACTCCGGCAAACGAATGAAAATTTTTATTTTACGAATGAAAAGAACTCCTTCCGCGTTTCTAGTGTTTAAATAAATATGAATAGTGCTAGTGGAAGTAAACACTTTCGTGTCGCGATTTCTAAAAAGGCATAATGTTTGCAATCAAGGAAGCGTAAAAATCACGTTTAACGCGGCGCGCAAGCAACGTTCCAGAGAGTCTGACGTTCCAAATACTTTGATGTCAATGAGGGTCTTGTTTTACGTAGTTGAAACTTCAAACATTCCTGAAACTTCCTAATTTTCCTAACGCATGTGGACTATCATTTTTCGTCGTTTTCCTTGACGACTATAATTAACCACTTTCTATCTTAATATCATAAGTAATTTCATAAGTAACCACTTTATACCTTAATATCTGCATGTTTTCGTATTTATAAAACAATTGAGCGTATTTTATTGCGAGATATATTATTTGGAGATAATTTAAATACCGATTTTTATAAAAATAATACATATTTTAAATAATAAAGTTACATTGTTTTTTGAAAGAACAGGTATTTTAAATAAGCTTTGAAATGACAATATTATCGTTTATACATATATAGAACGAATAATTATTTGCCTATTTAAAATTTAATTTGTTTATTTGCACAGAGAAAGATAATAATTTCTTAATGAAACATACAACGTGTCCGTTTTATTTTTAGCCATTATTTTTGCCATTCAATTTGATAAGAGGACAAAATCCCATGCACGTTCGTGTTTATACGATTTAGTGGCACTGTATAGTTTGAAAAGGATTCGATTTAGAGGCAATTTGGTTTTTTTGCAAAGAATTAATTTTCTCAAAAGTCATTAATCGCTGTTTCAATTATTAATTCCATTCGAGACGAGAAATATTCATTTTTGCATACTATATATCATTTCTCTGTACCTGCGACAGTTCAACGTTTATACTAATTTACCCTGTAATTTGTCTTTTAGTTGTTTGTTTAATTTTTAGTTTTATTTGACTAATGTGTTTATTCAGACGGTCTACCCGCTTCAGTTCAACATCGCCACATTTTCATGTATTCGCGTGCAATTGACAGAAAGACCGTTTAATATTATCACATGACATGTATTGATTACTTGTTGAATTATTAACAATTCTGCTGTGCTCCTGTATATTGCGCAAGCCCGCTGAATATACATACATGTATAACATAACATGATTACTGAACTGTATAACATTTATTTTATCGAGATATTTCTCCTTTTCGTTCTTGAATTTTTTTCTTTAACAAAAATATTTTCACGCGTCTCGAGTCATTTGGGGCTCGATAACAAAATTACAATATACGTGGATTTTAATAATAGAACATGCGTGAAAATCTCACTAACTACTACAGTAAACATTAGATGATATTTACATTAGATTATAATAACGATTACTTTTACCAACTCCTTTCAAAAGTGATCAGAAAGTAATCTTGCCAGAGCGTTCGCGTAACTTTAGCGTTTGGTTTGTAATACAAACTGAGTTTATCAAACTCGAAATTCAATTAGGTGAAAATTTCGAAATACGGTAAAGTTCGTGCAGTTCGACGAGTTCAATGACAAAGTTCCTATTCAAAAATTCAAACAGTTCAAGGGTACGTTGTATCGACTGCGAGTTTGAACTTCGACGGTTAGTATTTTGAATGCACCATAATTGAAGACATCGGTGACGTGCTCGATTTTGTTTCTAATTTCACCCTTCCACGTACACTTGGAGGGTTGTAAATAGAGCTAGCGACATCTGCGTAAACACGAGGATTTTACATACATAAGTTTGTTTGGGAAGTATCCTTTAATCGTAACTAAAACTCAGCACTCTCGTGGGTTTCCAATACTCTAATCCCCATTGTGAAGCGGAACAAAACTCTAAGTCTGCCGAGCTCTAATTAGAATATAAAGTGTTCTTGCCAATGAGTATAACAAAATTAAGGGTGGGACGAGGCAAAGGAGCATGCAAATTGTAACTTTAGAAAAGGGGAGAAAGTCACGTCCATGTCATGAACCCAGTTCAGGCCGTAAACCATAACAACTTCAGAGTTATTGTTATTGGCTTAGAAGACTGGCGGGCCGTAGAAAATGGTTATCGACTAGCTGCAACTCGCCGATAGGTTAAGTTATTCGATGGTTTTTATATGGAATTCATACATTATCCGAAAGAATTCATGTCGTTTTTTCATGACAGATCATTGATATTTGCTGTCCACGAATCACTAGTCACTCGAAATAGTTACAGAATTATCTATAGTAATTCAATAGCCCTGTTATTGAAACAGTTTTTTAATATTTTCCTAAGCTGTGATAGACGAGGCACACATATGTAGTCAAATTTTAAGTGTTTTACTTATTAAGCGACACGAACCGTAGGGATTCGAAAGGACGTAAGAATACTGTTAATGTTTCGTTAGATATACAGTGGCCCACAAAAGTCTTCGTACACGAAAGTAAAGTTCGTTGAATTTAATTATATTGGTATTTTGATAAAGTTTTTAAAAAATACAATTATACGCGAATAAAATAGAGTTCTTAATTTTTAAATTGGGATAGGTACAAATCGAATAATTTTTCTTTGAGTAAATAAGAAATATTTATTTCGTGGTACAAGCAACGGCACGCATAAATCTTCGTACAGTTAGTAGTACATATGATCTGTTGATACTATAATTAGAGTTTTCTAATATTTAGCAGCTTACAATCGTCTAGGCATGGATTTAACCAAGTCGGAAGTAATTTCATCATTAATATTGTTCCATTCAGACTATAACATCTGTTTTAACTCTTCACGGTTTGAAATTTACCTTTTTGTGATTCTTCTGTTTAATTCCTCCCGTAGATGCTCAATTGGATTCAGATCTGGGGACTGGGGAGGTGTGGCTATTATGTAAGGAATGTTAAAAATGGGTCATTGCTGAACTAAATGGGACTTTTGGGTCGTTGTCTTGATAAAAATTGAAATCTTCCAAAATCCCAAACTTTTCAGCGCTAACATATAAATGATTTTTTAACACTTTAATAGCCGCACGTATTACGCGAAAACTGTTGTCCGTCACCACTGATATTGTACGCCAAAGTGAGATACACGAAGATGTTATGAATATTATTATAAGGAATTATAAATGTAACCTCAACAAACGTAATAAGTTGAATGTATGATGAAATAGTGACTGATACATTAGATCACGTACACGTGACAACGGCCGCCCAAGTGTTAAGATATTTAAATAAACGAAATTATCCATAATTCCGTTGATAATGTGTAAGGTGCCTGTTCTTTTAGCACTCACACAGCTCCATATCATTATGGAACCGACACCACCTTTAACACTAGTTAGAAGTGGAATCGGTTCTTTAAATAATATTTTCAATTTCTTGAATCGATTTTTTCTGTTTAAATAAATTAATAACAATTTGTCGCTCTTCGATGTTGTTGTCGTTTTCTCTACGTTTCTTAGAGAATGATATTGATGATATACAGTTACAATATTGAGCGTACACTTAAGTTGGTAATGATGATTAGCGGAAAAATAAACAAAAACAGACATTTTCAAAATTAAAAACAGAATATATTTATTAATATTTGGATATTTCAGCAGTTAATTCTTTCACAAAATTTTGTTAAAAATTAACTGTTTCTCTATATTTAACACTAAACGTAAAAATACTCTTATTTCATTGTCACAAAATTGAGCATTGGGAGGTGTTTCGAGAACTTTAGGATTGTCATTCGATAGCCAACTATTGCGGGTCGTTGTTGGCATAAAATTTTAAATTATTTAAAAGTCCGATTTTGTCGACATTTTGCATTCAATTATTTTTGCATGTATTCAGGTAGATTCATTTGTCCATATTATTTATGTATAAATACTAAATTTTCAACGCTATTTACCTCCATGATTTATCAATGAAAATCGACTGAATCGCTAGGTGTTCTATTTTAAGTAACAATCATTCTAGGTAAAGGATTGACAAATATTTCAACAGATCCTTATTT